ATGTGACATAAGTTTCGCATCTTGCTTTTTCACTTAAGAATATATCCTGAAAAATCACCCTATGTCAACTCATAGGGATTTTCTTTATTCTTACATTTCAAATCGATTAAAATATGAATTTAATTGGTTTATTTGGGCTTAAATCTGACATCTTATTTTGTGCTTTGTTCTTACCCTATCTTGTTGCACTCTTTTCTTTCATGCATCTCTTAAATTATTTTATAATTACATTTTTCCTCTACGAGATTAGACATTATACATTCTTTTTTTTAATCCCTTTTAGATCTTATCCTAAAAGTTACAACACGTATCAATGTTTAAAGTTAATTGGTAACTACTGTCCTCTGGAAAATGCAATGACCTTTCTATATGTAAAACCCACACAACCTAGTTTATGCATTCAGTGTTTATTTAGATGAATTCACAAATCCTTCTCACATCTCTGATCTTCACTTTGGGTCATATTTGCTACCTAAAGAGCATCTGTTAGATTTTCCTTTATTTAGGTGATAAATTCTGTTTTTGTTTTCTCAAAGTGTCTTTATTTCACCTTCATTCTAGAAATATTTCAACTGGAAATGGAATTCTAGCTTAACAGCAATCTTCAACATACAAAGAGGAAAGACCATTCTATTGTTTTCTCTCTTCTTACTGTTAGTTTGACACTCCTTTTAAGAAAATCTGTTGCTTTTTCTTGGACTTCATTTAAGGGTTATCTTCCTTGTCTTTGGTTATCAGCAGTTTTACTATGATGTGTGTAAGTGTGGACTTATTTTTACTTATTCCGATTGGAATTCATTGAACTTCTTGAATCTGGATTGGTTTGGTAAATTCTCAGCCACCATCTCTTCAAATATGTTTATCCCACTCTCTTCTTCCTTGGGGATCCCAACTGAATACCCTTGATCTCACATCTGTACTTCCTATTTCCTACCAGCTTTTCTGCATTTTCTGTTTGTCTCTTCGGGCTACATTCTGGATAACTTCTTTTGATTTTTATCCCTATTCATGAACGTGCTTGATTTGCTATTAACTTATCCACTGAGTTAACTTTAGTTATCACATTTTTAAATTCTAGAAGTTCTATTTGGTTCTCTTTCTCACTTGCAAGATCACTTGGTAAAAGTCTCCTGTTCCCTGCAGATGGAGCGTATCTGATATATTTCACTAAGCATAATAAGCAGAATGCTTTTATCATCAGTCTGAATCCTTTGTAGACCTGTTTGTGTCCGTGTGTGCACATGCACACATGCCTGATTCTGCTTTTCTCCTTCATGGTAACATCTTTAGCGTGCATCTTCATCATTGATTCTTGACTGTTGTACTTGGAACTATCTCTAGGAAGAAGTGGAGAACTAGAACACAGCTACAGGTCCTCCAGAGAGCTTCTGCTTGAGTTTGCTTCTACTTGGCACCAGAAAGCAATTCTAATCCAGGACCACCCTAATCTTAGTTTAAGACTTTATGTCTGGGTCCATTTAGGATGCAAGATCTCACAGAAAACCTCCATTCCTTTGGTTCATCCTCACTTTTGGGCCCCAGGCTTACTGAGGGGAGAGTCTCCCACTAGACATCCCACCTGGTATGAGTCTGAGCTTTGATTTGTGTCCCATTTGCAGCCAAAATTCATTCACATGCAAGTTCAAGTCTAGTGGGAGCAGCAGATCCCCTCAGGACAAAAGTGGCTTCTGCGCTCATTTATCTCTGGAGTTCCTTTTGTTCTGGTTATTTCTAACTATGGTGTTAGCTCCTCTTACTTTTAAGAAATATGTCTGCTTTTCTTTTATTTTTTAACACTTTACCCATAGATTTTAGTGTTTGTTTGTTGTTTTTGTTTGTTTGTTGTTTTGTGGGGGGTGGTTTTGGCTGTGCTGCATGGCTTGTGGGATCCTAGTTCCCCAGCCAGGGATCGAACCCGGGACCCTGGGCAATGAAAGCACCAAGTCCTAACCACTGGACCACCAGGTAATTCCCTTAGTGGTTTTGTGTGTGTGTGTGTGTGTGTGTGTGTGTGTGTGTGTGTGTGTTTTGTTTTCAAGAGGGCTTGTCCAAATATCCTAGCCCATTATTACAGAGAATCTGAAGTCTTATGATTTCTTCTGACAAAATATTTCTGCCTACTTTAACTTTTGGAAGGTGGGTATTTGTCAGTTTTTGGTCTGCGAATAACTGTTTCTTGTTTTCCAGCCATTCTGTGCCAGGCACCATATCAGGTGTTTTATAATTAGTTCTTACAGCAACCCCAGGAAATGGTAGAGTCGGTGGTGGCTATTGTTTTCCCACCAAGGTCATAAAGCTAGCAGGTGGCCAAGCCATAGCCTGAAGCTGAGATCTGACACCACAGCCTGGGCTCTTAAACACTTTATCCTAGAGGCCCCCATTTATAGCAATTTAGCAAGTTACTGTAATCAAAGTCATTAGAGACTAATCACTTAGAACTCAATTTTGACTCAATATGCACAGAAGTAATTTTAACTCAATATGCACAGATGGTGTAATACTTGTGGCATTGCTAGTCAGAGCCATGATTCACACCAGTCCTTAGCTTGTGTCAATGTACATACATGGCTCTGCATGTCTTACCTAAACATCATCCACATAGACACTGGTAAATCCTTGGCCAACGTAATACCATTTCCATTTTTTTTTCCTTCTCCCACTCTGTGCCCTAGTTTTTAGCACAGGAGGAGACAACAGGATCATTTACTAAAGCCTGCCACCATGTTGCAATCTTGTGTTAAATAACCTATTTTTTTAAATATAAAAAGCTATTAAGGGTATGACAATGTTCATTGCAGCACTATTTACAATAGCCAGGTCATGGAAGCAATCTGCGTGCCCATCAACAGACAAATGGATAAAGAAGATGTGGTACATATATACAATGGACAATTACTCAGCCATAAAAAGGAAGGAAACTGGGTCATTTGTAGAGAGGTGGATGGAGCTAGAGACTGTCATACAGAGTGAAGTGAGTCAGAAACAGAAAAGCAAATATCGTATATTAATGCATATATATGGAACCTAGAAAAATGGTACAGATGAACCGGTTTGCAGGGCAGAAATAGAAACACAGATGTAGAGAACAAACGTATGGACACCAAGGGAGGAAACTGGTGGGGGAAGTGGTGGTGGTGGGATGAATTGGGAAATTGGGATTGACATGTATACACTAATACGTATAAAATAGATAGCTACTAAGAACCTGCTGTATAAAAAATAAAATTCAAAAGAAAAGCTTTTAAGGTATGAAATAAATAAAAGGTATGACTTTTCCTCTTTATGGCTTTGGCCGTTCCCGTGGGTCTTTATATGAAATTACACGGTATAGTGGTTAAGGATGTATGCTTTAGAACCAGGCTGCCTGGGTTCAAATTCTACTTCTGCCGCTATCTGTATAATCTTAGGCAAGCTTTTTGACATCTATGTGCCTCAGTTTGCTCACCTGGAAAATGGAGATCAGGGCATCTACCTCTTAATGTTATTATGAAGATTAAACGTAAAGTGGTTACTGTTTGACACACAAGTTACAATTAAATGCTTATCTTAGTAAGTTTTTCATTATTGCTGAATAACCTCTAACTTTAGGTTGGTTTTGTTTTGAAAATTTGTTTAAATTTTCAAGTTTTTAGAGTGTGTGTGTGTACATATATATTACATATGTATGTACACACACACACTATTTGTGTGTATATATACACTGTTTTTTAACTTATTTTCAGTTTTTATTGCATATTATAATCTTAAAAGTATTTTAGTAATCTAATGCCTAAACAAATGTTGTCCCAGACACATTTGAAAATGTCTATTTTCTAAAGAATACAATGTTATTTGTGTACCTATAGATGTCTATTAAACCGTATTTGTTAATGTTAATTTTCTATACTTTTTAGTCTGATGCTGAAAACCCAGCCTCTATGCACTGGTGCTGAGCCAAATCTCATCTCAGAGACAGTGTTTTGGGTGAAGCAGAAAAGAATAGTTTTATTGCTTTGCCAGGCAAAAGGGGACACAGAGGGCTCCTGCCCTGGATAACTGTGTGTCCCCACCTGGGAGGATTTGGTGGAGTTTTTACAGCAATAGTTCAAGGGCAAGGTTGCTGATAAGATTAGGGTGTGCACTCATTTACTCTGGTCTCAGGTAATCTCCTAATGAGCTACTCTGGTTCCTTTAATCTGGCCTCTGGTGGTCTTCTCTGGAATGAAGAATGCTAACTCCATTTGTTGGGGGTTTTAGTTCTGTAAAGAGCTCAAAGACATTGTTACGTGCATCCCTTGAGGCAGAACCAGGACCCTGCCCCAAGGCTGCAGCTCTTGTTTCTTGGCTGTTCCTCCCTTGTCTCTGCATCCCCTCCCTTCCCTGATTAGCAACTGTTTGAATCTCCCCTTTGGGACTCAGGGAAGGTCATGGAGGCTGGAGTCTGTTCCCTACAAACAAGGAATGGGGGACATGGAAAGGCTTCCATGTCCAGGAGCCCCACAGGGTCCTGCTTGGTTTCAAGTCTACCTGATCTGAAAATCAGAAATTCTCCACAGTATCTCCAGATACATGTATTTTGGATTTAGGCTTCTCTGTGACCCGCCCCCCCCCCCCCCCCCCCCGGTTTTTTTAAGTACTGCTCTGATGTTAGGTGGTTAGTGAATTCTTCTCATTTCTGCACGGTGAAATATTTTTCTATTCAACCGTCCCTTTCCCTCTCCTTTCCCTTATTGCTGTTTTCTCAGAATCCCTGAGAGTCAGATTTTGGTTTAAGATTAGGAAGCTCCTTCTGGAAGCTGGAGGAGCCCATGATGGTGGGAGCCAGCTGTGCTGCCGTCACTGGATTGACACCAGCAGAAACAGGGACTGTCCTGTCAAGATGCTGGAGTGAGAGGACTATGGAAACTGATGCTATTAAGCTTACTCATGCTTATTTTTAAACCACAATATTCCTTTGGCTTCCAATAATACAACTTTCCTCTTCCTCCTGGCAGCCTGAGGAGAAAGCCCCAAGAACCAACCGGATATACGCTTCTACATGAAAAGACCTGAAGAGGTAAGAACACTTTCCAGAACTTCTTGGTTGGGGGCAGCTCTTCAGAGGTCATGTTACTAAACCTCACAGAGGTAGTGTTATTCAAGCTCATAAGACACAGTGCCTGCTTATACTCAGGCTTCCATGAGAATTTTCTCTCTCCACATGAAAATGTCTAGGCAGCAAGGAGATAAAAGTGCTAGAGGATGTGACCATTTTCTCGCAACTCTTTGTTTCTACCCACATAGAGCAAAGCAGCTTTCCTGTGGGGATTTAACTTCAAAAGCAAAGCGTTCTTGTCTTTGCTCCTCTGCCTACATTGTTAGTAGTGATGGAATGGCCCAGTTTTCTAAGGCTGCAAAATCAAGGGAGCACAACCTCTGCATTTAACTGCCTGTGCGAACCTCCTGCCTTGAATGCCTTCCCCTTCAATCGAAGGACTTCCAAGGTGGCTCAATGCAGAGTTTGGTGCTGCACCAGTGGAAGGAGTGGATTTGCTGCCAGACTTTGTCTTGCACAGCTCTGAATTTTTATTCCCACAGTTTTTTGGTCTGCTTTCTTTTGTATAACTTTTTTGTATCACAATGGTATCTTTGGTCCACCATCAGCTGGATCTGTCTTTTTGAATGGTCAGTCCTGTAGTGACGATGGGTTCACTTTTACAGACTCTTGACCTAGCAGCTACAGTATATCTGAAAAACAGATATAGCTGGTGCAGGAGGAAAAACCTTGACTCTCCTGTCCTTTTACCTACCAAAACCTTATCTGTTCGAGACAAAATTCAGTGCTACTTCAATTTTATCCTTTGCCTTAATTTCCCATTATGTTATGAATTTCAAGGAATTCATTACAAACTGCCTTTGTAGCTATTAGTGAGCATGTTTTATGTTGCTTGGTTTTGTATATATCTTTGTGGGAAACAGAGAACCTGGCTGAATACCTTTTATCAAGTAGTCACTTAATACCAGTTGCATAAGTGAGTGCTTATGATTCTGATCCCATTTCTGATCGTTGTTATGGAACAAAGTTTGTGTGCCTGTTGAAGAGTGAGGCCAAACAAACTAAAACATCGTCGGAGTTTGGAGCAGAGAAAGGTTTATTGCAGGGCCAAGCAAGGAGAAAGGAGAGCTTAAATACCTTGAACTCCCCGTTGGTTTTCTGAAAAAAATTTTTATAGGCAAAATTGGGGGTGAGGGCCGCAGGGTGTGTGACGTTCTTCTGATAGGTTGGTGGTGAGGCAACAGGGCGGTGTTCCAGGAATCTTGTGCTCAGCCAGAAGTGGTCCCCCTCCATCTGGGTGCGGGCCTGAGTTCTGCAGAAGAGCTCAAAAATATTGTTATGTATATTCCTTGAGGAGGACCCAGGACCCTGCCCCAAGATGCACTATTGTTTCTTGACTGCTCCTCCCTTGTCTCTGCATCCCCTCCCTTCCCTGATTAGCAACTGTTTGAACCTGTCCTTTGGAACTCAGGGAAGGTCACGGATGCTGAATGAAGCCTATTTCCTAAGAACAAGAAACAGGGGACACGGAAAGCCTTTGGACCCAGGAGCCCCACAGGGTCCTGCTCGATTTCATCATCAGTTATGGTTCTGCCACCAATTCCAATGTGTGTGTGTTTTAAACACATGGCCAAGCAATTCTCTGATACCAGCTGGGTGTCTTATAACTTAATTCTGACACTGTCTACTTGGAAGTAGCATCAGATCCCACAGGTTAAGGGCTCAGTCTTACAAGACTCCCTCCCCTCATCCTCCAACTCAGTCACCAGTTGCAAGTCTGGTCTGTCACTTGGGCTTCTGACCCATCAGCTATAGATGGGAAGTTCCAACAACCCTCTCCTTGGATTTGATTAATTGCCTTCAGTAGTTCATGGAAGGGAAACGGTTTACTTATTAGATTACTGGTTTATTATAAAAAGATGTAACTCGGGCTTCCCTGGTGGCGCAGTGGTTGGGAGTCCGCCTGCCGATGCAGGGGACACGGGTTCGTGCCCCGGTCCGGGAAGATCCCACATGCCGCGGAGCGGCTGGGTCCGTGAGCCATGGCCGCTGAGCCTGCGCGTCCGGAGCCTGTGCTCTGCAACGGGAGAGGCCACAACAGTGAGAGGCCCGCGTACCGCAAAAAAAAAAAAAAAAAAAAAAAGATATAACTCAGAAATAGCCAGATGGAAGAGGTGCACAGGGCAATGTGTGGGGAAAGGGGCGTTGAGTTTCCCTGCTCTCTCCCAGCATCTCCATGTGTGAGCCCACCAAAGAAACTCTCTGAACCCTCTCCTTTTGGGTTTTTATGGAGGCTTCATTACACAGGCACAATTGATCAAATCATCGGCCATTGAGGATTGAGCTCAATCTCTAGCCCCTCTCTTCCCGGGAAGTTGGGGGATGGGCGGTGAGGACAGTAGGACTAAAAGTTCAACCCTCTAATCCCCTGGTTGGTTCTATTGGCTATCAGCCCTCACCCTTAGGTGCTTTCTGAGAGTCACCTCATTACCATAACAACAGCTACCTTGATTGCTCTCCTCACTGGAAATTCCAAGGGTTTTAGGAGCTCTGTGCCAGGAACAGGAGGAAGACAAATAGGAATTTACTTTTATAAATCACAGTTATCAAAGTGATGAATCTGAAGTGTTGTTACCGTTCAGCAACGTGCTGTCACCACCTGAGCTACTGGACCAGCCACTGGAAAAAAAGAGTGCATTTCCATTAACTTCCCTCTTAGGGCTTGTGTGTACACAGAGAAATTTTCTTTTGTTTTAAAACATGATTTGTGGTACCTTTCCCTGGTGTCCGAGGGCTGGGAGTAGGTGCTGCCAACATGCATCTCTGCAACTTTCCCTTTTCTATTTCCCATGGCCTACTCTATTAATTAATTAATTTATGGCTGTGTTGGGTGTTCCTTGCCGCGCGTGGGCTCTCTCTAGTTGCAGCGAGCGAGGGCTACTCTTCATTGCGGTGGCTTCTCGTTGTGGATCACAGGCTCTAGGTGTGCAGGCTCAGTAGTTGTGGCGTGCGGGCTCGGTAGCTGTGGCTCGGGCTCTAGAGCGCAGGCTCAGTTGTTGTGGCGCACAGGCTTAGTTGCTCCGCGGCATGTGGGATCTTCTTGGACCGGGGCTCGAACCCGTGTCCCCTGCATTGGTAGGCGGATTCTTAACCACTGCGCCACCAGGGAAGTCCTGGCCTACACTCTTTTGATGGATTATTTTTGTTACCGAACCAAACTTGGGTCTGCTCGAGCACACAGTAAAGCCAGTCTACTGACACTGGATTGTGGTGAATGAAAGCACGGCATTTCCTGTAAGGCGCCACACAAGGAGTCTGGGACAGCTAGTGCCCAAAAAGCCCCAACTCCCCAATGGATTTCAGGAAAGCATTTTTGAAGGCCAGGTGAGGGAGGGGGATGGGAGGGTGAGTAATCAGCTTATGCACAATTACCTGATTGGTTGATGGTGAGGTAACAGGGCTGTGTCATAGGGGTTACATTATCAATTCTTAGGTTCCAGTAGGCTTGGGGGCTACGTATGTACGTGTCCAGGCTCATCAGGTAGTTAGTCTCCCTTTTGGTGAGAATTTTATCATCTGTAAAGCAATTCAGGAAATGTGCATCAGATACTGTTATCTGGTACTCCAGAGAGGAGCTGAAGCAGAGGACATGGGGGAGGGGTCTGTCCTGGGAAGGCCCCATAGTGTCCCGCTCGGTTACACTTCCCCCTTTTCATTGATCTTCATCCTTCCTCCTCCATCTTGAGGAGAAGAGGTGTTGGACAAGAAGAGGAATAACATTCTGGGGAATGATGTTTTGGATAGAGAGGTTAATCATAAACTCGGCAGAGGAACTCAGTTTTAGGAGGACTTAGTTTCATTTTCATGTTAGGTTGCAAATATCTAACCACAGTGTATAATCTTGATCTCGGAGGGACAGCAGTGAGCAGCCCTAAAGAGAGACCTTAGTTCCCTGCCCAGGAATCGAACCTGGGCAGCCTGGATGAAAACCAGGAATCCTAGCCGCTAGACCACCAGGGGCTAGAGGCTAGAAGGAGAGTGGCCCTGGCTCTCTCCCCCATTTGAAAGCAAGAATGTTTCAAGGAGGCAAAAACTATAAAAACAGGTACAAAAGTTATTATTAGACACACAGCACAATGTATGGGAGAGCACACAGAGAAACAGTTTATTTATTTAAGACAGAAGCAAGGGACTTCCTTGGTGGCACAGTGGTTAAGAATGTGCCTGCCAATGCAGGGGACACGGGTTCGATCCCTGGTCCGGGAAGATCCCACATGCCGCAGAGCAACTAAGCCCAGGCTCCACGACTACTGAAGCCTGTGAGCCTAGAGCGCATGCTCCGCAACAAGAGAAGCCACCACAGTGAGAAGCCCGCACCGCAACAAATAGTAGACCCCGCTCGCCTCAACTAGAGAAAGTCCGCATGCAGCAACGGAGACCCAAAGCAGCCTGAATGAATGAATAAATAAATAATAATAAAAAGACAGAAGCAAAGCAGAAATATACATCCAGAGAGGAAGGGTACGGGTGTTCTGTCTAATGAGGAGTGCAGTACGTTAGAAGCTAGAAGCTAAGCAGAGGTGCGCACCCAGAGAGGAATGCAGGCATCCTGAATGAGGATCTCAGTAAAGAGGTGATTTAAATCACTTGCATAGGACAGTCCTTCCGGATCTTTGTTTACATTTGGCCAATTATCTTGTTTCTTTTTTCACACCTGACTGGTCCTAGAATGCTCCCCAAGATGCGTGCGCAACTTTTTGCTAAGGTGGATCCCACAGTAGAGGCCTGTGGGTACATGTCCACACACATTATGGGGTGGTGCCCCCTCCCTTTCTGACCCCCAAGGAGTCTTCTTGCGCATGTGCAGACAGGGAAGTTTTCCTTGACCTCAGGAGCGGGCACCTTATCTCTTTACTTTAGCAGAGCTCAGCTTCCGCTGCTAACTTTGTCCTTAGAGTGGCTGGGGGAGAACAAAGTTTCGATTTTACTCCACCGTGACAAACACCAGCTGTCTGGCCCAG